CTGCACAGCTACCAGTAAACCCTAAATAAATATTAAAATAAGAGTTGTGATTAAAAAATGAAAATGTTCCCTGTATAATGTAGATGTGATTGATTTAGTTTAGTCAGCATGTATTTTCAAAGTAACAATAGCTGTGATTTTGAACATTTTTTTGTTTAAATCTATCTGCATAAAGATGACATAATCTTACCGAAATATTGTTTTGGACACAATTGCAAGGACAAAGTGACCCTATACAAGGCTATAATGTGGAAACAATTGGGTAGTCACCATTTTGTTGAAATCGGTCATGTGATGGGAACTGTAGAATATTGATGCACAATTTACTATTATGGGAAATAACTCATAATAATCAGTGAGAGGCCATCAGAGAAAGGATTAACCTATCAACATGGCAACGTATTTGACATGATTTCACTCAGGGCCCCAAATAAAGTTTCCATCCCTGAGGTTCACTTGACAAAATTGGATTTTAATAGATGGAACCCTCCGGAGACCCGCATGCAAGCATGCGTCCATCTTTTTCCACTTGCAAGTGATTTAATGTACAATGTCAGTATATAGCCTAGCTGCTATGCTTTCACGTTTCATTACAAATTGACACAAATGACACAGGAAATGTTTTATTAAAAATAAAAAATTGAGTAAAGAGATTGACAGTTATAGCTATTGCAGCTTAAATTAGATGTGAATGAATTACTAAGGTCTAATAGACCATTTTTCGTTTACTGTAAGATCCTGTGTTATGTGTGAAATTGAATGTAAAAACAGGACAAACAAAGATCATATTGTCATAGTTCCGTCAAAACACTGTGTGGGATTTGACGAATGCAAAACAATTTTTGGGATATTTCCACGCTCAATAACGTGCTACACACCTTTGATGATAGTCAATTGTGATGAAGTACGTTCATTACAATGCAATATTGCTTTCTTAAAGATAGGCATTTCGACATTAAACAATAAAAATTCAAGCTATAAATTAAATTATTTTATTTTTGCAGCAGAAGTTTGATCCACGTCATTCGTGCATTACATAAGATCTCGACAGAGAACAAAACATTTCCCCTAGCAACCACCAACAGATTCATAGTAACATAGGTTCAATAACCTATTGGCTCAAGCCAATCATTGCTGCTCGCAGCTATATTTAATGAATAATTTTATTAATTATTATTAAAGATATCCACAGGCAGCTGATTAGCCAAGACACATACAAGTTAGTAACTGACAACAGATAAACAGACAGATACTTAACCACCAGATACCCATCATTTTAACCACAAGTTGATGGGCAAGGTACATTGTATATAATGATGACCGCTGTTTCAACTTCAATAATCCCAAACAATTGACATCAATTATTTCTTTTCTTTGGCACATTCAATTTTAAAATTGCAAGCTGTATAATTCAAATCTATTATTCCGATTTAACAAAAATGACACTTTTAACATAGTCACAGTTCAAATAGATAAAAATTGATGACATTCATTATAGATTCTTTTTATGTTACACCGTTATTGATTATTGAGGTTTAGCGTTATAACGATATTGAAGTAGTAGTACACGGGAAAAGATAAATGTCATACCTATTAGCCTAGTCGCCATTCCGTAGCGGCATCAGTCAGACAAAATCTCCACAAATGCCGAGAAATCAAAGTGTATTTTCCATGGAAATATGGGATGAGGGTGTTGTATATAGATGTTCATTTGTTTTCCATCATTATCAACTTGACATCACATATTTGAATTGCTTTTAAACAAATAATCTTACACACACTATATATATTGCATATGGGACAAATACTATATCCAACACATACAGAGTGGTAAAAACTATCTTTTTGAATTTCATTATTTCCATTGAAGTTGTTGTCTGTTTTATTTATTTATCAAAATCTATGAGCAACAATTTTTCTATTTTCATGAGTAAATTTTACAAGCAATTTGACTTGTGAATGTGAATATTTGCAAATGTTTTGAATCAAGATTTATTTTTGTGATCATGGATGCTACAAATCATTTATGTACAGTTGTTAGCACAGAAATTACAAACGATATTGACTCAAGAAATGATTTATTTCCAGATTTGAACAGAATAAAGTTTGAAGAAGGCAATAGTAGGTGTGATTTTAGTCCTATATGTTTACACAGTAAAGGCCATATTTCCAATCTCAGCTCAGGCCCCAAATTTATATGAGCCAAACTGGGCTTGAGCCAACTTGAGTTTACACAGAGATTTTTGCTTGCTCAAGCTGTTGGGCTCCAATAAAATGTCACAGAATACATATTAAAGATATCAACTAATGGTTTTCAAGAAAGATGCAATTTGATATATTTGACAGATCAGTGTACACCAAATAAACAGTCAATCACTATTCATTGATGACAGAACTCAAACAGAAATCTGGAGACTGTGCATCACAGAATGAAATAATTAGGACACCTGAGAAGCAATCTAAATAGAGCCTCATTTATTAAAGATATTAGAATGTCTTTTATGAAAAGTTGATGATCCTTCCCTTGAACACTGTAAATTTTTCTCACCACAACTACGGTACGTCTTAACACTAAGACTGCCTAAACAAATTTCTTGCAAAACCGACCAATCAAAAATAAAGAAGAAAAACTAGTAAATATTCTTAAAACAAAAGACAAAAATATTTTAATTAATTTAGCCAAATTTTTTACCAAGCTTTTTAATGAGAGAAAACTTCATTAAATTACCAGCTGCCTCATAATTTTTTTTTTTTTTTTTTTTTTTATATTTTTTCTTTTCATTTCATTTTAACTTTCAACATTTAACTTTATTGAATCATGAACAATATCTCAATTAAGGATACGTTTATCAATAAAGATTATTATTATTATTACAACATTTTACATAAAATCCCATTGCAGAAAAAATTATGCCAACTATACAATCTTCATTATTTAAAATGTATTTCAGGATTGTATGGCATTTGTGAAGTCCAAGCAATTCTGGGAAAGTCACTCCCTGACGTGGGATGAATTTTCACAGCAAAAAAATTTACGAAATTTACAGAAATTTGTCTTTTGCAAATTAAAGCGATCACAGTATTTTTTGAAAGCTTGATTTTTGTCCTATGTACATGAAGTAAATATCCAACCTGCTTACACATCTTCAAAAATCAAAACTAAAATCTAGATATGATCAAACAATTATGTTCAGGGATTTTTTTAAATAAGGGAACAGGGGCTCAGCACCCTCATGCCATGGTCATGCGCCCCCTTACCCTGGGGAGCAGATCCTCTGGCAACCATCAAATTCTGATTGAACATGAATCACATGTGACCACAGTCTTCAATTGTGACCTGTCTGATAGTAATTTTGGCCCCAAGGAAGCCATAGAATGCTCCATTTTAATTTAGAATTATCAAAAACTCCACACCCTGGTAGGGATAACCCTATTCCCTCTTTTATTTTTTTTTCTAGAAAAATCCCTGATGTCTATTACAAATAAAATTAACCTAATGCAGGCAGGCAGTCATACATCAACATGGCTTCAAATCATCAGTTTAAAAAAACACATGAGACAGAATCCTGTAAAATAGTTTTATTTTCACGTATTTTGCAAAAAATTGAAATGCAGTGAATTAACATATGCAAACCATCTATCACAAACCAGTGACATTATAACATGGTGTGAATATCCATGCAACATCAAATTGACTAAAAATGAATAGTTTGGAGTATTTACAGTATAAAAATTAAGATGAGAAAATGACAGTCTCTTTCTCCATAACTTTAAAATTATACCCCCACCCCCTTTCCTGGTTATAACCAACTTAACACTTTCAGCACCATGATTTTTCCCACAAACATTTTAGTGCAACTTTATGACTATTTTTCTATAATTTTTTAATAATTTTTAACCAAATGGACATAGTTTCCTATTGATAACAGGTTTTGATCAAAATTATAGAAATGATACAGAAAAATGATGTGGGTTTTATTCGTAAAAGGTGATAAAGTTCCCTTTAAAGGGTTCAAGTACTCACAATATCGGGGTAGTTCAAATCAAATTAGATGTTTTACATTGTGATTGTAACATTGTGATTGTCTAATAAAATAATCTCATTGCCAGCAATAAATATGATCTAGACATGATTGGGTGATTTATATGCACAGTTACTGTGAGAGAAAAGAGAATCCTGACATTTTGCAGCACTGAATGAACATTTCACTGTCGTCAATAAATTTTAAAAATGTACAGAAGTAAAAATTTAACTGTTTACAGAATCCATTTCATCACAAAATGGTGCAAAACTTAATTGTTAATTTCTGTCATTTCCTGTCAACTGTCAACAATAGATCAATAGATTGTATGTTTCTCAGATGCTAAATATTAATCATTCAAATGTAAACATTTTTATTTTTCAATAATTTCTTTGTAAATTTAAAACCAAATGGACATAATTTCCCATCAGTTACAGTATCTGATCAAAAGATGTGAAAATATCTCTCATGAAAGTGAATTTTGGAGGCTAAAGGGAAATGTGAGACTCACGTTGTGAACACAGGATTGCTCTGTAGAAAAAAAATAATTTGATGAAATCTTATCTCCTCCTCATCAGAATTATCTCTTCATTATCCTTAAGCCTCACTTCAAAGAAATGCTAAGATTACCTTCTCTGCATACAAAATACTGACAGTGTTTTGATTAGTTATACTGTTTATAAAATGCACCACACATTAGTCTTAATTAACACCAAATATTATTAATATAAATACTGAATAAAAGTAAAAGTCTGTTTGATTAAAAAATGACTACATTTTGTTGCTCTTATTACACTAAATCCGTATATCACAAATAGTCATTCTAAAAAAAATATGAAAAAAAATATAATTATTTATTTTTTAAAAACATTGATTTCAGGCATATCAGGCATTAGCTATATAATAATAGCTGTCTCAGAACGTAGAAAACATGTTCCTGTTATTTGGAGCGTGGTATGATTTCATATAATGGGTGTTTTAAGGAATCTCAATGACAGTTAAATGATGAACATCGTTTATCTGTGTATTAGCCACAGTTCGACCGTCACGCGGTATAGTGCCGGTGACATCATCAATGGGCTTACATAATCCGCACAACAGTAATTCAATATAAGCTTCCTGGAATCTGTTGTTCATAGCACCATAAACAACTGGGATGAGACAGTTCACAGCAAAGAGCCAGACATTGGCTAAAATCCATACATCTGGTAGACTGATATCCGGATCACAAGACATTAATACTTGATATGGCACGTAGCTAATTATGGTCAGCACAAATGTCACTAGCAATGTCTTAAGAAACTGAGTTTCATGCGTACTAAGCCTTGGCACATTCAATGTTATCTGTACACCTGTGGAATTATTCGGTGCAGGCCGTACAATCTTGCGTTTTCGGCTATAATGTCTAAAAATAAGGCCAACCATAGAAAAAACAATGATAGACGGAAATACAATATTGACGAGTGGAATTACAAGTCCTATTTGACCGTATCCATTGCTCGGAACACACAGAAAAACCAATGGACTGTATGACATGGAATCTAGCGTGATTATAAAAGGAATCATTGTTACCAGACCTGGAAAGATCCAGGAAAATGTTAATGCAACACCTATTGTCGCACGCTTGGTCACAGTTGTGTATTTACTGTTGAATTTGTGAAATGTGAATCGGTTGATGGACAAGAGCAAATAATGCCAGAGAATAATACTGATAACACTTGGTTTGAGATATACTTGCATGAGGCAGCTACCATGTCCAATTCTCCATGATTGGTTTAAGAAAGTGTCGATAGTTGGCAAGATAACTAACAAGACAAATGTGATATTAATGCAACTAATGCTGGCAATAAAAGAGTAGCTGAAAGTCCGTAAACGCTTCTTTCGAACAATCGTCATCACCACCAAAGTATGTCCACAAGCACCAACAATTAGCAATATAATCAATAAAGCTGCAGCAGTTGAAGTAAATGATGCTGGTGACAAATCAGGTCCATGCTCTGTCCAATTGTTTGTTAAATTCATCATGGAGTCGGTTCAGCAGAAACAATGCATAATATCAGCTTAAAATCAAGTATCAGTGGTTACTCCGTACAGAGAAAATGATGAAAAATCTGTCATAGCAGAGTAATAGTTGAAGCTACAGTGAAAGCACAATATAAAATGAAGTCTGGCCGGGATAATATCAACAACAACGTCACACATGAAGACTACTCCCACACAGGGAGGGAAGGATGAAACCATTTGTCTCCTTAGCTTAGTAAGCATAAAACCACATCGACTGTGAGCACACATCACTTTCGAAGTAGACAAAACAGTTTGTGACAGTTACTTAGTAAGTAATCAACGATAATGAATTACATTCGTCAAACAATAGTTCTTGTCAGAAGCAATCAATCATACCTGACCCACCTGCTTTAACGATGTTAGCTGCCTTTTCCAAACACAAAAAACTACACACCAACCCGGTAAACTCTCTGTCTGTAGAATGTAAATCACCATTTCCACGTTAATATTGTAAGCTTAAGCTGTCACCGCATTCATGGGTACTTATAATCAGTAATCACAACATTAGTTTGCTTACGAGTACAAATCAAACATGGTTAAGTGATACAAAATATATAATATATATTTGGGCAATTCAAAGAAATGGCTTAAATCGGCTTGGAGATAATAGTAATGAATATACAGTCTATGAGAAGGATTGCCAGGTTGAGTCAGACAGATTACACATAAATAGCTGTTGGCTTTCTCTTCGATATCTAGCATAGGAAAAAAAGCACAGCTTGAAACTGACATTTTATGAGGTGTTGTGGCTACAAGTGGAGTATATTACCATGGCAACCATCTTTCGTTCAGAATCGATTATCTTGGTTATGACTCAATAAGGAGACTGAACACAGCAGATACTAGGAATATTTCTCTTGGGTGTTGCTGACCATGAATTAAATTTTCTTGGAGGGAGTGACTAGACATAATTCATCACAAATTTCCAGCTGTTTCCGCAAACATGATCAAAGAGAGGAAATAGGAAATTTCACCATCTTGAGTGTATAACAGTAGGGGTGTGGTATGCATGGTGATGACTTTGTGATAAAACAGCAAATTTTCTCTCTTCAACAAGAGTAAATAAAAATATCAAGCAACACGTCGCAAAGCTTATGTGATATAGATGCTGATACAATTTTAGTGGAGCTACATTTGTGTGTTATTAGTAATTAAAGCCATAATGTTGAATTTCATATTCTCATGTTTCTATCATTAGATCAACAATCTGAATATTAAATGACAAATTCTATGCACTATATATATTAAATCATTATTTAAGGTGAGAAAGTTTTAAAAGTAGAGGTATTATTACCATAATTTGATAGATATAAAAGCAAATATTATTTTTATTTAAACAAAAACTTATTTTTCATTATTATTATTATTATCAAACAAAAATGAATTTGTAGCACATTATTAGAGAATAGTAGGATATTTTAATTCATTTATCATAATAGTTGTTCATCAGAATGACAAGTTTCATAGTTTAATGCAGCAGCTATGCAAATCAAGAGAACCATGCAGCCCAGTTTAAGTCATAATATGAAAACAACGATTCAACAAGATGTTTGAAAAACCAAGGGTAAATAAATTAGTTGGTGGTTTAAGTGATGTGACAGAAAACTCGCACTTATTATGAATATTCAAACAAAGAGATCATAGTTCAGTTGATTTTTGTGTATTCTAATTCACTTCAAATTACACTTTATTGGTTGTCTTACAAACATAATAGCTGGCGATCTCACAGGATGTTCCTACAAAGCAATACATTCATTTCAATTTACTCACACCCCTGGTTGAGCATATTGTTAAATACTTTTTTTTATGAAATTGTCAATGATAGCATTCAATCAATGTATACAAAAGCCTTTCTGTGTGCATGCACTGTAAACTGTTAGTGTTAACACAGCTCACACACTGTAAACTGTCAGTGTTAATACAGCTCACACACTGTAAACTGTCAGTGTTAACACAGCTCACACACTGTAAACTGTCAGTGTTAACACAGCTCACACACTGTAAACTGTCAGTGTTAACACAGCTTACACACTGTAAATTGTCAGTGTTAACACAGCTCACACACTGTAAACTGTCAGTGTTAACACAGCTCACACACTGTAAACTGCCGGTGTTAACACAGCTCACACACTGTAAACTGCCAGTGTTAACACAGCTCACACAGTTTACTGTCAGTGTTAACACAGCTCACACACACTGTAAACTGTCAGTGTTAACATGGCTCACACACTGTAAACTGTCAGTGTTAACACAGCTTACACACTGTAAACTGTCATTGTTAACACAGCTCACACACTGTAAACTGTCAGTGTTAACACAGCTCACACACTGTAAACTGCCGGTGTTAACACAGCTCACACACTGTAAACTGCCAGTGTTAACACAGCTCACACAGTTTACTGTCAGTGTTAACACTACTCACACACTGTAAACTGCCGGTGTTAACACAGCTCACACACTGTAAACTGCCAGTGTTAACACAGCTCACACAGTTTACTGTCAGTGTTAACACAGCTCACACACACTGTAAACTGTCAGTGTTAACATGGCTCACACACTGTAAACTGTCAGTGTTAACACAGCTTACACACTGTAAACTGTCATTGTTAACACAGCTCACACACTGTAAACTTTCAGTGTTAATACAGCTTACACACTGTAAACTGTCAATGTTAACAGAGCTCACACACTGTAAACTGTCAGTGTTAACACAGCTCACACACTGTAAACTGTCAGTGTTAACACAGCTTACACACTGTAAATTGTCAGTGTTAACACAGCTCACACACTGTAAACTGTCAGTGTTAACACAGCTCACACAGTTTACTGTCAGTGTTAACACAGCTCACACACTGTAAACTGTCAGTGTTAACACAGCTTACACACTGTAAACTGTCAGTGTTAACACAGCTCACACACTGTAAACTTTCAGTGTTAACACAGCTTACACACTGTAAACTGTCAATGTTAACACAGCTCACACATGGTAAACAGTTTGTGTTAATGCAGCTTATTCTGTAAACCAGATTAGATATTAGAACAAAATTTACAGGAAAATAATAAAATTTCCTTTTCATGCAACTCAAAGCAGATTACAATATACCACATATGTTGTAGCTTTCATTATTAGAAAACCACATTATTATTGTTTCATTGTGCTTGATTTACCAGAATATATTCAGTTTTTGTTTATTTATTTCACTTCCATTATTCAGTTTAAAAACACAGGAAATGCAAAATTGATACCTTTGTTACTTTGCATTGTATAAGAGCAGGAAAACTCTGTGAAACTAAATAGATTTATACGAAATATAAAATACCAAGTAAGTAGACTTCAGATTTTCACTTGCACATAATAAATGCATTTTTTTTTACAATTTGAACCCTTTGAACACTAAAGTCTGCTTTTGTCATCAATAAAGTCATCAATTTTTCTGAAATTTCATTCTATTTGGTGTTAAGTCCAAAATTAGGAAAGAAAGTATAAGACATAGGATTTCAAAGAGTTATAATTCAAAGTAGATTGAACAAGAATTGACAATCCCTGTGTGGTTTTAGTCAATCTCAATATTCAGTACAAGTCACTTGTAGATTTATACAGGTCTACAAAAAGGCAGTATGTCTGGAAGGATATATACTGACACTGATGAACTAGCATGGATACCATAAAAAATGGCCACCAAATGGCCACCAGTCAATTTTATTTAAATCTCAAAATGTGCGATGTGCACCTATAACCCAATATGAGTGATCCTGACACTAAGTGAAATCGCTCTGTTCATTTCCCATAGTTATATAAAATGTTTGTCAATTCAAAAAGAACACAAAAATAACACAATTTATGGTATCACTTATGAATATATTACGTGTGTGCAAACTTTCAACTGAATCAGGTGATACCTTACTGACCAATTAGTATGAACATAAATAAACAAAATGGCTGCCAGTCAGAATCACAAAAAAATATTATGTACACCGGTAAACCCAATATGCAAGGAAGTTTAAAATCAACATTTTAAAATTATATGTAGAAACAAGATGCATGTCTATTTTGTGAAGCTGGTGACAAAAGTTGACTTTGGTAACACAAGCAGCAATTGGTCCATGTATATCATATCTTGAATGATTCTCATTTGGTGTTTTACTCTAAACATCTGTCATCTTGCTGTCATGAAGAGGCCATATGGAATGGACTTGGATATATTGCTCAAAATCTGCTGTTTTTAAATTCAAAATGGCCTCCAGTCACAGATGCTGATACTACACATGATTGGTAATCTCAATTTAGTTGACAATAAAAAGAAATTCAAACTTTACAAGTCCCTTTGGTGTTATTAATTACTAGCAAGGCAAATAAAACACTAAATTAAAAAATAAAATCCCTCTCTTTCTTAGTAATTGGTGTGTCTCTATAATTATAAACAATAGTATTCTGAAGCAATTATACTATTTAATATTCAAGGACAGCCTTGAAACCATATTAATTTAAAGTAATCAGTTTGTATACATGTTTAATGACAACCTTGAAGCCATGCCAAAAAAAAAAAAAAAAAAAAAATAGAATAACCTTCACTGGAAAATTAATTTTTTATTATCCCTGTGAGCACTCTTTCCATTAAAACTGTGCAACAACGTTTTGCCATTTTTTTTTTCATCATTTTAAAAAACATATGCAGGTAATTGGTTTAAAATAATCAATTAATATTACTATGAATGATTATTATTGGATTAGAAATATTTTCTATTGGTTGGTTAAAATGTTGGTAATAAAATACAATACATTATAGTAATTTGAAGTAAAATGCCAGATATTGTTATTTCTAATTTCAAATATTTTGTATAAATGTTTATCTGCTTGGCTTATTATGTCTTCTTTTGAACTCATAATATATTTAAATATCTAGACATCACTGTTTAATTCTCCTGCAATGTTTATATTATTAAATAACGTCTTTCTT